GCCGGGGGGCAGTTACTACTCCCCCCGGCTCAGGAAAGTGGACAGGTCTGTCTGCGTAGACTCGCCCGGCAGCCGACGGTGCCCCGGAAGTATGCACAAGTGATTCCCAGGACGTCCTCATAATGGCCGCAAAAGGCCCGGCAGAGGTTTTAGTGGGTAGGCCCTTTAGATGATTTAGGGGAGGGGGAGAGTCTCACACTACCCCTGAAGAAGTCCCATATTCTCTTGGGGTAATGGGGTGCGTAATGCATTTCCTCTGACTTAACAGAATAAAAAGATTATGTCACTCGCAACAATGGGTTACGTTCAGTTGTACACACACGTACATACGTATACACACTGCTCGCCCTCCCATTCGGGTGGGCTCGCGGTATGTGTATGTGTTCCTATTATATTTGGATGATTTAACAATCTCTCTAAGTCCTTTTACTCGTAACTGAATGTGGTGACCTTTCTTCATATATCTGTGGTGCGCATGTTGATTATACACAGGCATATGGGACCTATAGTTTAACGCCAATTCCGAACGGCAAATGATGTTGAATAACAACAGATAATTCTGAAAAGTGTTCTTGGCAAGTGATACTATCGGTGAGTTGCCACTTCCTTCCGAGAGGAACACGAGCGTACGAAAAATTTCTTCGGTTCTACCGGAAATTAAACCCGAGATCCCTAAGCATGGTAGACCAGTGCGCTGTCTGCCGTGCTACACTCGTGCTCGATTTAACAATCATCCATGTAATTTTACGATACTGCATAAATTAAAGTGTGAGAGAAATATCATTCTATTTATAAAACTTCAAATATAATAGGAACATACGTACTGGCGGGCGGGCGGACGAGCGCGCGTGCAGACGAGCAGTGTGTGTGTGTGTGTGCGTGCGTATGCAACTGAACGTAAGATACGACTTCCAAATTTTCAACATGCATTTATATGAATTTCTCAATGTAACATACGATTCCTTGCTCTTTTTAAAGGAAAAATACTTTAAATATATGAAGAAATACTTTATTGATGAATTGGTGTAACAGAAATATTTTTCACACGCACGTACGCACGCACGCACGCACACACGCACGCACGCACGTGGGTGCGTGTCTCTATGAGCACTAAACGTCCAAAAAAAGTCACGCTTACTGTTTACATATTACACTTAATATACTCTGTGTTGATATTAATGTACATTTTTTTATGAATAATTTTTTAACAAACAGTGAGCGCCAGTTAAAACCTTTTGGATATTACTCAGGATAGTGGCAGACACCTTCCTAGCCTACAAATTCGATGTTTTTGTATATACGGTGTCCAAAAATTACATCTATTTTACTCAACTTTTTAATAATGTTTTAATAAACAACAAGCGACGCCTAAAACTTATCGTATGTTACTCAGAAGGATGAGTTGTATAATATATGTGAATAAGAGAGTCGTTGCTGAAGGATAAGTTAAAGTATATATTTACCCTTAAATCGGTTATGTATCTAGTCAATTCGAAAATTAGTGCTAGGCTCTTTCACAGAGAATGCACTCCACACCATAAGCGATCCTCCTCTATGTTTGATCGTGGGTAGCACGTACTTGGGATTATATTTTTTGCCTTCAAAACTTACAGTCTTACATAAAGTATGCCATTCGATCCAAACAGTTGCAACTTGCTCTCATCGGAAAAAATTACTTTTATCCACATAGTGGATGACAAATTTAAATATTCTTTTGCCCACTTCTTTCGAGCAGCTCGCTTCTTTGAACTGATCCATTTTCTAACGGGCCTTCGACTGAACAAACCATGTTCCCTAAGACGTTGCTTTACGGTAGAATCGGAAGTCTAAATTGCGTGGTGCATTTGCAATTCCTTTTTAATGTCAACTGTTGTGGTTCGTGGATTCTGTTTAGACATTTGAACGAGTATCCCATCTTCGGCAGAGGTTGTCATACCAGAAGGTCGACCAAGACTATATTTCTTTATAGGACCTCCATGCTTCTTACAGCGTTGCAGGACTTTCGTTATTGTCGAGATACTGCGCCCAAATTGTTCAGCAAGATGTTGATGAGTATGGCCTTGGACTCTTCTCAAGATCGCTTCCTGTTCTACAACTGTGAGGTTGTGGGATCCCTTAATATATGGCATTTGTATAGTTACAAGTTTTGCTCGACAAACATTTGTAAATTATTAATATTAAATCTAGAAACAAGATATGGGAAACATAATTATTAAAAATATAAAAAAATAAAAATAAAAAATAACGGTATTAAACGAAATTTTTATATTATATTAATTGTCGAATTTTTGCTTAAAAATAATTTTAAAAACTAAAATATATTAGAAAATAAGCATGTATTGTAATGCGTAAACATAAAAAATTAAAGATGAAACAAATAATCGTCCAGAAATATAAATACACACTCATTTTTTTTTTAGCAGTATAGAAAAATCCAAAATGTGATATCTTTTTGACTGCTACTGTATGTCATTTCGAAGCCTACAGAGCTCATCTCACCGCTCGCAATTAGTATGCCCTTATAGAAATATCATACTAAGAATCAATAATAATTACTTATTATCCAGTATTTTTAATACTGAAAATAAGTAATTATTAATGATTCTTAGTATGATATTTCTATAAGGGTGTACGAGCAGTGAGATGAGCTCTGTAAGTTCTGAAAAGACATATTCGAGATCTATTAGGTGTACAACTTTGCTTCCGTCGTTTTCCTATAGATGGCTTTAGCGGTAAGTGGTGGTCGAAATAAATAGATCATAGACGTCATACAATAAACTTGGGCATCTGTCAACATAACCCCATAGAAACATTAGTCGATTTGTGTCTGCATCATAAAGTTATTCTCGATTCAAAATGTCAGTTTACGAGCCAAATTCTCGTCATTTGCGGGAGATTTTAATTTTCTACTTCAATATGAAGAAATCTGCGGCTGAGGCTCATCGAATGTCCTCAAATACTTATGGTGAAGCTGCTATTAGTGAAAGAACGTGTTGTGAGTGGTTTCAACGCATCAAGAACGATGATTTTGACGTCGAAAACCGACATAGCGGTGGAAGAGAGAAGGTGCAGAATTGGAGGCATTACTTGATCAAGACTCGTGTCAAAATCAAGAAGAATTGGCACGATCATTGGGAGTGATTCAACAAGTCATTTCAAAACGCCTCAAAGCCATGGGAATGATTCAGAAGCAAGGAAATTGAGTGCCGTACGAATTGAAGCCGAAAAATGTTGAACGGCGTTTGTTTGCTTGTAAACAGCTGCTTGAAAGGCAAAGACGGAAGGGATTTCTGTATCGCATTGTGACTGGAGACGAAAAATGTGTTTATTACGATAACTCCAAGCGCAGAAAATCATGGGGAGTTCCTGGCCATATTTCCACGTCGACAGCCAAACCGAATATTTACGGTTCCAATGTCATGCTCTGTATTTGGTGTGACCAGTTCGGCGTAGTGTATTATGAGCTGTTAAAACCGACTGAAACAATCACAGGCGATCGGTATCGAACGCTATTGATACGTTTGAGCCGAGCATTGAAAGACAAACGGCCGCAATACAACGAGAGACACGATAAAGTGATTTTGCAGCATGACAATGCTCGACTCCATGTTGCGAAAGTAATCAAGATATACTTGAAAACGTTGAAATGGGAAGTCCTATTCCATCCGCCGTATTCTCCAGACGTTGCTCCCTCTGAGTATCACTTGTTTCGATCAATGGCACACGGCCTGGCTGACCAATACTTCTGGTCTTATGAAGAAGTAAAAAATTGGATCGATTTGTGGATCGCCTCAAAAGATGACCAGTTTTTCCGACGCGGGATTCGTACGTTGCCCGAAAGATGGGAGAAAGTAGTGGCCAGCGATGGACAATACTTTGAATCAAAATGTATAACCAGTTTTTTACAATAAAGCCTCGAATTTCGGAAAAAAACGGCGGATGCAAAGCTGTACACTTAATAATTTTGATAAAATTTTAATAAAATCTCATAATAGTTTTCAAAATAGTAGATTATTTTTCTATTTAGTTTAACAAGTTCTATTTGCATATAAGAGGCTAGGTATTTAAGTATCCAGAATGAGGAGGGCGTACTAAGTGACGGCGGGACGCCATGCGTTCGAGATCTGCGTATCTTTTCGTTCCAGAGAGAAAAAAATATCGAGAGCGCGGTTTTGCTAAGCCGGGACTCGAACCTGGGTTTTTCGCTTGCCGGGCGACTGCTTTAAACCACTGAGCTACCTGACGCTCTATGCTCACGACACTCTCCTCTCCTTAACGCTTAGAGATGCCGTTCGGAAGCGACATCTCTGGCATCATCCCGAGCGTACGGCGACTACAGAGAGAAACAATGCTATTGTACCAAATGGTACAGCTGTCAGTCTCTCAAAGTCAAAGGTTGCTATCTTTTAAGACTTGCTGTTCATGTATGCCCGTCTCCACCGATGCCCCTCCTCATCCGGTGCAAATAACACAAATAAGGCTCGGGGTCGACACCAATTTTATAACCAGAATCCCTTGTCTATTTATCTCTTTAGCTAATCTATTTAACAACATCTATTTAACAACATAAATTAAATCTGAATATTAAATAAGGAACAAATAAGAAAGGGCAAATGAAATATTTTTAATAATTACCATAAAAAGCTTATTTATTAACTTACAGTAACTAGTAAAAATCCATAGAGACTAAATAATGTACCAAAATAGATGAACAATCCGAGAAGCATCAATGTAAATGTATTTTCGATTATGTTAATACATCTATAATAAATAGAATCCATTAAACATAATAAAAATGAAAAAATATATGTAAATAAAATAAAGTAGTTTCACTATATTGCCTGTATTTAAGAAAGTATGAATATGACATTTTTATAACTTTAGGTCTCAAAAGGATGCTAACTACTGGAAATATGTATCCGTATACGAATCGCACAACTTTTTTAATTTCACTGTCACTATGAAGTAATGATGATTCATTGAGAAATAATAATGGAATATTATGTACAAAACCTGTTAAGCCGTACGTGATCCGTTATAACGTCCGCCAAAACACGATCAAAATTTGAGCTGTCACCAAGGCCTAACAATCGTCCTTTAAGGTTTTCCAGCTGACCACATACGTGAAAAACTAGTAATCCGAAGAAACTATCGATAGCAGTATAACCTATAGCGGCTATCATAAGAGTAATACCCTGTGCAAAGAAAGTGAGCTCGAAGTACGGACTTACGTCCGTGTCGTAGAAGTAGTATGTCTGCAGAGGCAATGGTTTGTCCGAATCGGTTACATTCGTAATGTATCTCATGGTAATTCCAAAGCACGGAAGGATAAATAGTAAAATAAATGACATAAACATTACGACAAATCCACCGATGATAATCATACGAGGAATTCGCGCGCATTTTAACATGACTCTGCGCTCCTCTTCAGACTTCAGTTTCAGCCAGTCTTTGGTGATCATATACACGATTGGCGCGAGAGCTTAAAGGGCATATCAAGAAAAGCAACATGAATAAGGTGTACTGAAAAATTAAATTGTTGTATAATTAAAGCAATACAAAATTTATGCAATTACAAAATAAATAATTATTGCGGAATAATAAAAATTTATTGGTAAACGCATTATTTTTATGAATTATAGTTTACGGTCAAGTACTCATAAGTATGCCGCCCAATTTTTTACGGACAAAAATTATAAGTCCACCTTGAACTTAATTTAAAGTTCATAGTAATTGAATATAACGTAAAAATGCCGAATAGAGGATCACCCTCCAATGATCTTGATGATAACATATATTATCAAGAACATCTTCCTGAGTAACAATCAAGAGGTTTTAACCGTCGTTAATTGTTTATTAAAAAGTTATTAACAAAAAAGTTTAATCAATAATACGTAATTATTACAACAGTGTGTACATTCAATAAGTTTAAATCAATATATGTATGTAAAATAGTACATATATATGAGCGGGGGAGGGGATCCGCCCCTCCCTTCACACCCTCTCTCCAAAAAACTAACCTTAACCTAACCTATCTACTGAAGTATGGTAAAAAATATGCATATACTGTTTGCGCATATTATACGTGTACTATTTACCATATTTTAATAGATGAGTTAAGTAAGGGTTAGGTTTTCTGGGGAAGGGGTGCGGGGGAAAAGCCGAAGTCCCTCCCCCGTGCATATACGTGTACTGTTTACCATATTTTAAGGTAGTTAGCTCAAAAATAATGAGAAGTCACAGATCTTCTTGAAACTTGTAGCAAAATTAATTTAAGTATTAATACGTATGTCTGTTAAATATGGGTTCAATTAACCGTATAGTTTCCAAGAAATTATCGTTTATAGTTTACTCTTTTTCTCGATATCTTACATGGCGCTGACGTACAAAGAGTAACACGTAAACGCGCATTTGTTGCAAATGCCTATACCATAAGGATTAATACGAAAATGTGGGCAAAATTAATTGAATACTTACAGAAGTACATACTTCAGTCTCAGCGAAATTGACCGTACATTATTAGCGTATGATTAATCAGCAAAAATAAGTTTGACTTTTGCTTTTTTGTTCGCAACCATGCTTTGCAGATGTGGCAACGTTGTATTACTTGGCGTCGCATAGCGCTAATAGAGATGCGACGTTGCCACGATCTATAGTTCCGCGACTACAACGCATACCCTTATGAAATATCATACTAAGAATAATTGATAATTTTTTATTTTCAGTATTAAAAATACTGGATAATAAGTAATTATCAATGATTCTTAATATGATACTTCTATAAGGGTACTGTTTCTTTTTCTATAATTTCATTTATTTTATCGATTTTTACTATTCTAAGAGAACCAATAATGTTTAAAAATCTGTTTTTCACTTTTGCTTAAAAGAATTCATCGGTTGTTGAACCTTTTATTTAAAATCTAATTTTAACTACCACAGTTTGGAAACAACTACCTTAATATAGGGTTAGGTTAGGGTTAGATTTTCTGGAGAGGGAGTGCGGAGGGAGGAGCGGAGACCTTTTCCCGCGTATACACGTGTACTGTTTACCATATTTCAATATTTGGGTTAGGGTTAGGTTTTTTGGGGAAGCAGTGTAAGGGGAGGGGCAGCGCCCCTTCCCCGCGCATATATGAGCATGTACTGTTTACCATATTTCAATGTTTATTATCACCATATTTATGTTTATTTTAGAAAATCTGTCACACTGACAATATGTCTGTCTCTAGACATGTGACTGGGGGGTTATGCCTCCTAGACCCCCGCACTGCGCCGGAGGGAGGGAGCCGCAGTCTATTAGGCTTAAGCTGTAAACAAAAAGTTATAAACAAAAGAAATTTCACAATTACGGTTTGTGCACACTGTACATATGAAATGTATATACCTTAGAAATGTTGTGAAAAAAGATATATTCTCTAAAGAGTGAGAATTTCTTATAAAAGACTTGCCCCTCCTCTTCGCCGCGGTGCGGCGAGTCTGGGCGGCGAAGCCCTCCAGTCGCACAGCCAGGAACAAGCATCTTTTACCATATTTCAATGTATACTATGTACTACACTTACGCGTTCCGTTTATAAAACTTTTATTTTCAATAACTTTTTAATAAACAACGAGCGACAGTTAAAAAACCTTTTTATTGTGACTTAAAAAGGTCAATTCTATAATATATATCAACATCAAGACTGTTGGAGAGTAGTTCCCTATTCGGCAGTTTTACCGAATATAATTATAATTATGTGACGATCCGGAAAGCGTCACGACATCCGAAACAATTACTAACAAGAAAACGCCGAACAACCGCGCGCGGAATAACCGCAAGGTCAACAAACAGTCGAACTGTTTGTTATAATTTAGTATAAAAGCCGACAGAAAATTGATATCAGGAGAGATTGATCGGAAGGCTCTTCTCAGGCGCACGACCGACCAGAACTCGAAACTCCTAGAGATCCTAGACATCCCGTCGACCGAAGTGGATACGCGACGTCGACATCCTTGCTCCGATACCGCTCTACCGACCGAAGTGGATACGCGACGTCGGTTTCCTATCCATACACCGCTCTGTCGACCAAGGTGGATACGCGACGTCGACATCCTTTCTCCGATACCGCTCTACCGACCGAAGTGGATACGCGACGTCGGTTTCCATACACCGCTCTGTCGACCGAAGTGAATGCGCGACGTCGACATCCTTTCCTCGATACCGCTCTACCGACCGAAGTGGATACGCGACGTCGGCTTCCTATCTGTACCTCGCTCCGTCGACCGAAGTGGATACGCGACGTCGGCATCCTTTTCCTCCTCACGCTACGCCGCTAACACCTACGATCGCGAACGCATACAGAGCGTAAGATAACGGCGACAACGAGCGCCTTTAAACCAGCAAGGAAAGACCAGGATAGATAAACAAATTAAAGCCGATGAGGCAACGAACTCCGAACGACGAACAATAGTGTATCCGGAAACAATTCCGACCGCATCCCGCCTGACGCTCGCGCGCCTCGACGCTCGCAGCTGATCGCGAGACGACAACAACAGCTCCCGACGAGAGCAAAAACGCGACCACGCGCCAACGGCGTAACGTCGCCTGTAAATAATTGTAAATAGCTTCGAAATTAGAATATAGTTCCACATTATTATCACCTATACCACTGGTTTTCATTTCACACACGAAACCCGGACCACACCGCCTATCCCAGACTATCCCGCACGTAACGCAAGGCCGTTACAATTATAATCAAATTATAATTTTTCTTTCTTTAATTTAAAGTTTTTGCACGATGATTACGAATACATAAGTGAACGCAGCTACCATGTCAGAAAGAGACCTATTTAAAATTCCATTATGATTAGATGATGAGGATGGAATTCCCACATAGCCACTTTATATTCTCCGTATATTTTAAATTCATACGGAGTCTCCCATATATATATATACGTAACTTTCTGAGAATATACTAAAGATATTGTAAGTAATATATACTGGAAACATTTCATATATTCTAAAAATATTTTCAAGATATTGCACACAGAATATCATATTTTGCATGCATACCGTATATTCCGCATATATTATAAAATTTATCCTGAAAGTTGCGAATATACACAATATGCTGGGAATATTCTAAGGATATTGCACCCAGATTATATAAATTACGTCTAAAATGTAAAAAACAAATTACGTTTAATATTAGGTGTACAACTTTGCTTCCGCCGTTTTCCTATAGATGGCTTTAGCAGTAAGTTGTGGTCGAAATAAATAGATCATAGACGTCCTACAATAAACTTGGGCATCTGTCAACATAACCCATAGAAACATTAGTCGATTTGTGTCTGCATCATAAAGTTATTCTTGATTGAAAATGTCAGTTTACGAGCCAAATTCTCGTCATTTGAGGAAAAATTTTAATTTTCTGCTTCAATATGAAGAAATCTGCGGCTGAGGTACATCGAATGCTCTCAAATACTTATGGTGAAGCCGCTATTAGTGAAAGAACGTTTATTAGTGTCGTGAGTGGTTTCAATGCTTCAAGAACGGTGATTTTGACGTCGAAGATCGGCATAGCAGTGGAAGAGAGAAGGTTTTCGAAGATGCAGAATTGGAGTCATTACTTGATCAAGACTCGTGTCAAAATCAAGAAGAATTGGCACGATCATTGGGAGTGACTCAACAAGCCATTTCAAAACGCCTCAAAGCCATGGGAATGATTCAGAAGCAAGGAAATTGGGTGCCGTACGAATTGAAGCCGAGAGATGTTGAACGGCGTTTGTTTGCTTGTGAACAGCTGCTTGAAAGGCAAAGACGGAAGGGATTTCTGCATCGCATTGTGACTGGGGACGAAAAATGGGTTCATTACGATAACCCCAAGCGCAGAAAATCATGGGGAGTTCCCGGCCATGCTTCCACGTCGACGGCCAAACCGAATATTCACGGCTCCAAGGTCATGCTCTGTATTTGGTGGGACCAGCTCGGCGTAGTGTATTATGAGCTGTTAAAACCGACTGAAACAATCACAGGCGATCGGTATCGAACGCAATTGATGCGTTTGAGCCGAGCATTGAAAGACAAACGGCCGCAATACAACGAGAGACACAATAAAGTGATTTTTCAGCATAACAATGTTCGACTCCATGTTGCGAAAGTAGGCAAAACATATTTGGGAACGTTGAAATGGGAAGTCCTACCCCACCCGCCGTATTCTCCAGACGTTGCTCCCTCTGACTATCACTTGTTTCGATCAATGGCACACGGCTTGGC